GCGCAACTGCCCCCAGTAATGGGAGCGCTCAGGTTCAAGACGTTAAAGTTGATAAGGTCCTATACAGTATATAGTAGGCTACTACTTATTATCTGGAGGCTCTGTTGAGGTTGTGTATAGAGGACAAGAACCTCATGACCAGCTAGACGAGAGGACTTCTCTCCTCTGTTAGAAAGACAGAGCTTTGTAGTGGCAGAAGATGGACACACTGGTGTGTGAGGTGTTTTTAGAATTTGATTGCTCTTTTTAAAAATACCTGATGAAATGTAGAATTTGTTGTATGTTGTGTTGAACTGCTGACTCAAGGCTGTTCTTTACAATGTGCACGGCTTCAGTAACGTTGTACTATTTCTCATAGCTTTGGTTTGTCAGGGACAGTTGGGTGACTCATATGCTTTTAAGGCCGTTTGGGTCCAATTCTTAGATTTGAAGATCCCAATCCCTTTACTTCTTGGTTTCATGGCCTGGGTTGTATCTAATGATATTTAATAGTTTTAATGCAATAAGTCTGACTGCCTTCCTTAAATAATCAAAATAATGATTCTGGTTTCATACAAGTGTCTGTAAATATTGTTTTCTGGTCAAATGAAACCTTTTGCAATCTTCCCCCAAACCTGTAGAATAACTCCAGCAGACATATCGATGTGGCCAGCCGCAAGCTGAAAACACGCTCTCTCCAGGTGTTAGTCTAAGGAAGCTCATAACTGGGTATTTGGTTCTTTATTCCAGCTGGTCTGAGGCATGTCACCACCAGGTGTCAGTAAAGTCCAAAGGATCAGACAGAGGCATGTACTGACTGGGCAGACGTGGACCGTCCTTTTGTTTAGATCATGTGATCATGTGTTTATTGTGCATTTAAAGAGTAACCATGAATGTAGAGTTCAATTGTAAAAACTACACTACATGAAAAGCCTTTGTGAGAAAGAATTCATGCAAGGTCCTTGTTGCACTGATGACCACATGGGCAGGCACAGGAAGTGCGGTGGCAAAGCTCAGGAGAACACACCCTCTGCTCCCTGGCTGTGAGCAGCAGGAACATCCTGTATGGACGTCAGCATTCATTCAAATGTACAACGCACACACTACACGTATCTGTGAGAAGTAGATCCTTGTTTGTGTGGTTCTAATATTATCCCAGTACTCCAGCAAACATACCCGTGTGGGCCCACTGTGTGTAGGTGTGGATTTACTGTGGGCTGGGGGCAAACCCACACTAATTCCATCTGGGCCGCCTGTGGGTTGACCCATGTGAGAGTACCAGGACCATGAAAACTCTGACAGATTTCAGAGCTGGCTGCAGGCTGAATCGGGGCTGGAGAGTCAAAGCTAGGGGCGTTGGGTGAGGGTTTGGGAGCCTCGGGTCCAGCCTGGGCCCGGGGAGCATACTGAAAGCTCCCAAGGCTGTCCTGGGGCTGTATAGAGTTAGGGTGAGGGGTTAAGGGTCGGACCTGGGCCCGGTGAGCTTGCTGGAGGCCGGCCAAGGATCGACAAGTGTCAGCACAAAGCACGAGGATCTTCTCTTCTAATGTCTCCCTAAACAATTCAGTCTGATACAAAAACTATTCATGAGCCATTTCTGCTTTTTCTCCTTTTTCATCTTCTCTGGTGTGAAGAGGCTTTTCCCTGCTCTCCAATGAAGTGTCAGAGACCAGACAATCTCTCGCTGATGGCTTTCAAAATGAATAGTGTTTGCAGTGTTTCAGCTGCTAACATATGCCATTTATTTACCTCTACTACAGAAGGTACTATCTTCCTTTTAAGATAGGGAAAGGTAACCGTAGCTGATGCTGCAGACACTCTAAGTGTGAAATAGAGGTGTTAGCAAACACACAGGTGACACATGGCTTTCTACTAAAACCTTATGTGGTAATAAATCCTGAACATTTGACCGGATGACCCTCGCTTCTATTCCCCAGCTGGGATTAGGAGTCGTGATCAATAGCCAGCTGTCAATCAATAAGATGGCTTGGCTTCTGTTGATGGGCCCCCGCAGGGAGGAGGGGGCCATTAGAGGCCTTGAAGGTATGGCGATAGAGATCCGTTGATACTAACTGCTACTGCAGCAGGAGGGAGCGGTGCCTAAACTGTACATAGGGCATGGCTGACATCCTGCCACAGGAAACTAAAGCAAACCTCAATGGAAAACAACAAGGGTGTTATTTAGAGTGACATTGCCATTTCAGTGTTCAAGAGTGCTGATGCAGTCGACTCTGTGTTTCACATTCTCTCACGCTTGCTGTTTTATTTCAGCTCTGTTTTTCGACCTTGGACGAACTGAAAGCATGTTTTGCTCTTTCCGTCAGTCGTGATCCCTGATGTTTTCACCACTTCACAGCGTACTGAACATACAGTATTTGTGAGTGGATCACCGGGAGGGCCCTTATACAAGGCTGACAGCGGTCCCTTCTCGAGGACTCACGTGAACTGCTATGACCCCCCCTCTCCCCTCGGTTTAAATCCACGCGGAGCTGATGTTTAAGTTTGGAGACTGGCCATCAGACTTTTCCCATTAAAGTGAGACAGCTGGGCCAGGCGGGGAGGCTTTTAAAAGCAGAACTTTTGCTAAATAATTTCTGAGAATGCATAATACATGACCCTGAGATATCACGAGGGATAAGGGGTTGAGAGTGAGGAAAGGGAAGGAGGCGAGAGATCTCTCCTGTCCCCTTCTTCCTAGACATGTACTGTCTCAGTCTATACCAGCAAGCATTCGGCCCCTTCATCCCCTTTTCCCCTCTTTCCTTCTGTCACATCATACATTCACAAATATTTCATTCACTTCTCCCTGTCCTGTCCTGTCCTTGAGAAGTAGCTTGGCTCCGACAGTGCTCATATTTCTCTAAGTCACTCTCCATCGTAGAACTGAATGTGATTAGAGCGGCTGTGTTTTGGCTGCAGATTAAGCCACTTATCACCACCAAGGTCTGTGTGAAAATATCCATGTAGCAACACTCTTGAATAAGACTCGTAACTTCTTCAGACTGTCTCGCCCTCTGACAAAACATCCGACGATTGCTCAGTTTTATGGTATATGTTAAAGCAGGGGAGTCAAGGTCAGACTGCGTGCGATGATGCTACACAACTGCACTCTTTCCAAGTTCCTCTGAATGCGAGAGTGAATGAGTGGTGCTTATATTTACAGTCTCCACTCTGTTTGTTTGTCTTCAAATTGATTCCTAAGAAGAAGGGAGGCGGGGTGAAGGAAGAGCATCCTTGCATCTTTGATGAAGAGTGATACCGTAAAGCAGTGTCAACGCAAGTGTTCCGTGTTAACCGTTACTATTCTTCTTTGCACTATTGGTGGGTGAAAAACAGTGTTTGAGGTGGAGCAGGATTCACATCATTGAAGCTACAGCAGCAGTTGAATAAGGAAACATGAGGAAATAAGGAAATAAGTGCTGCATTGTAGCACATTTCCTTGGAGACAGGGACACACGGTGTCAATTTTATTTATACAGCCCAGTATCACAAATCACAGTCTGTGACAGCATAGGACACCCTCTGTCCTTAGGCATTAGACATTTAATAGGGAACAATGAAGGAAGAACAGAGCAGGAATCCGTGTCTCTGGACGGACAGACATGAAATAGATTTGTTGTGTACAGAACAGACCAACGTTGTCAAAACAAAAAGCATGCACAATCTGGATGACAAAATGATGGATAGATTGTAAAAAAATATGAAGAATGGACCCGGGAGGACGTCGAGCAACTTCCAGGTGCCGCCACACAGATAGCACCTGAGCCACGCGACCTCCCCTCCACCATGGAGACCTGGGAAGTGGACAGAATACACAAGGGGAGAGAGAGAGAGAGAGAGAGAGAGAGAGAGAGAGAGAGAGAGAGAG